CATTTACATGTACATGTAACCCCTGGTCCATAGTCTTAACGTTGCAGGTTGCGGGCAACGTAATGTACTAGCTATTACTATGAAACACAACTGTATGCATGTAAAATTATTGTAAAGTGATGAATCAGGGTTGTCAGAAAGTTTTGAAGTAGACAGCTGAGTTGTCAAAAATAATAAGCGGCCAGTAAATTATATGTATATTACTCATTTAGTATTTTTTATTCGTATGAGAATATCTACATTAGTAAAGTTGTCTTACTGCTAAAAGGTTTTCCCTCCCCCCCCCCGATAGCCTGGGGAATAGCTTCTGTGTTTTACTTATTAGCACTTTGTTTTGTTTTTCATACAACAGGCCAGGCAGATCACCTTGGTATGTGATGTTGGTGCAGAACGTTCTCTCAAAGCAGGCTGGTTCATGGAACTTAATTTCAGTCTCAAGTTACTGTGCTTTATGCTTAGTCAAGTTCTGCAAATGTTAATCTTGAAATACTAAGTTCTATGCTAAAGACAAAAAATGTCCAACTGCTACCTCGAGTGGGCAAGGTGAAGCAAACCTTGCATTCTAATTGGCTACCCAAGGGGGCAAGGTGAGCCCATTTTGCCCACTTGGGATTTCCTGCGTTGGTCCCGCAAGTAAAAGTTCTCTTCTTGGCCATGTAATAATTCATTTATTGACCACGGTTGTTCATTCAAGATGGCTGAATATTGACCTCATTCATTTTTGTATTTTTATTGCCCAAGACCAGGCTGTGCTCTGTGGCCCGTTACGCCTACATCTGTAACTTTTGTTCTCAGGCGACTAGAAAATCTTTGCTTTTTCATAGAAATCATTTGCTGGGCACACTGGATTTCACAAGTTCAGAGTGCTGGGCTGCCTTCAAGTTTTCTTAGAGCAGAACCTTGCAAGGGAAGGCAGGGTCAATAAAGACGCAAATATCCAGCCATCTTAACCTCACACCCGGTCAATAAAGCATAATTATTTATTACAATTTTATGGTTGAATCCGTGAGCGGGCAAGGTGAAGCAAATCCTGTGTTCTAATTGGCTACTCAAGTGGGCAAACCAATCAAGCTTGTTCGGTGAAGATAGCTGGGTATTGGCCTCGCAAAAAAGAGCCTGGCCAATATCCAGGCATCTTGACTGAATGTTGGTCAGTAACGCATAATCATTTATAACAATAATAATTATTAGAACTTTGTGAACATCTTTTCCAGAAAGGCATTTTATATTGCTTTAAAAGGGCTAGGTTATGCTATGCTATATTTTGTTCTTTGAGAGGCTTAAAAGTGTCTTGGCTTAAATTAAGTTCCAAAAATAATGGTCCAGTTCTGTTATTTAAAACTTAATTGAGGCATTGGCACTGTTTCCCATCACCTCTTGCTATGTATGACAAAGATGATCATCGATTGAAACTTGGCCAACTTTTTCAAGGTTAAAATAATGCTGTGACTGCATAAATCACCAAGAATTATTATGGTTTGTGCTTCTTGATGAAATTGGCTTGATGCATGTATCTTCTTCATAACTCTACAAGCCAAGCATTTTGTGTGAGGGTAAAGACACTAAGGGCGCTTTCCAAAAGTCGGAACTGGCCGGCCGGACCATGGCTGGAGCAGTTATTTTGACAATGAAATAGCTTTTTCCGAAGAGTTTTTGCTGAAAAACCATCACCTTTGTGCATTAGTATTTAGGTTTTGACTGATCTAGTTGGATAGTTGTGATTAAAAGTTAGTTGGATAGTTGTGATTAAAAGTGAAATTCTCGTTACTACTGGAATGTTCTGGCCGGTCAGTTTTGACAAATGGAAAGCGCCCTAAGTAATGACTTCAGCATAGAAGTGACCTAAAACGTACACATGAAACACATAAACCGTTTTAGCAGACTTGTATTATGTAAAACTGTAGCCATACTTTGTTTGTTGATGTATTTTTTTGCATTTCAATCTTTGCAGTGGTCATAGAAAATTGTGTAGTTTAGACCACCATGTTAGAAGAGTAAGAATATTTCCTGACACCATAATTATAAAATTATCCTGAAGCAGAATGGTCATATGAGTAAGTGGTATATGGTCATACAGGTTAGTATAGCACTTAGTGGGACTGTTGACAGGAACTGATGTTTTGACAATGCCCGTGAAAATGATGATCACCTTGTTGTCTAAACGTTAGTCGCTGTCAACAACAGTCCTGCTCAGGACTACAATGTACATTCACCCGACAAATCATATTCCACTTTGTTGAAATAATTATTATAGACAGCCAAACATATCACTAGCCATAAACTGCACATGAAAGTGTTTATCACTATCTGCTATAAAGGGTATTAATTTGTTAACAGATTTGACATTTTCTTTGCCAAAAAAACACTACGTAGTCCTACAGAAAATTTCTAGTGGATTTCCCAAAGGAAGCCTCTTACTATTCCTGTTCATTGCTAGTGTGAATAGGCACTCACATTTAAAATGTAATTTAACTTAACCAATGTAATGAGTAAATACCATAAGAAGACCTGATTGTCAGTTTAGGAAGCAAGAAGAATAAAGAAAGTACTTAGAAAGATTGCTGTGGTATTATTTTGTGCAATAAAAATGTCGAGAGAATGGGTTTTTGTAACTATAGATGGCGGGAAAACCACCCCAAGATGTTGAAAAGCGCTTTTTTCACGATGGAAATAACTTGAAAACACCAGTTTCCGTCTCGTAAACTCGTGTTTCCGCAATAGTTACATCCGATTACGTTGACGGAAACATGAAATTGACCTGTTTCCGGAACGTCTTCGCGTGTTTCCGCAAGGATGCCACGCATTTACTCTTGCGGAAACACGTGTTTGCTTAGACGGAAATTTGACGGAAACGTAGAAAAAAGTGGTACGATTCCGCCGGAACCGCAGCGACGGAAACACGAGTAAACGTATTGTATCCGCTAACGGAAACATGTGATTACCGTCATGTTTCCGCAACGGTTTTACGTGTTTACGTTAAGTTTCCATTTACGGATTCTTGAAATTTCGTCCTGTGAGAGGAAACGCTTGCCCGCAAGCCCCACGATTCTGGAAAACGCCCCTTGATATTTCACCGTTCGGTTCAATAGTAAATTGACAGCTCGTCAAAATAGAAGTACTGGTATAACGAAAATATTACCCCTGGATTGCCAGATTTGTAAAATTACTTTGTTCTCTAATAGAACACGGTCCAGGCGATTGCAAAAACTGTAATAAAAAAGATTTACGATAAAAGAAGGTTGCAACTCTGAGCGACTGCTGCGGAATTTCTTGTTTTTTATTGCGTGGCTTTATCTCTTCTGAAACCTTGTGGAAACGTCAAAAATGATTTGTCCGGAACAATTCACTCCGCCGGCCATAAGTTTTGCAGAGCGGCTGCTCTTTAGCCCCTGTCGAAACGTTCTCTACAATACATGCCGCTAAATTTCCAATCAACAAAAACAATCTTTTCATTTAAAAAAGCTGACAAATCGCTTGTCCATGGCGGCTTTAGCTAGTGTCGAGTACCGATGTTCTAATTTACGTTGATGTTATCTCCAATAAACAGTCCATTTTTCCCAGTCTCATCCGCACGCCGTCATTCCCAATACTGAAATTGGCCTTCCCTAGTCTTCACTGCTCGATCTCCAATTATACCTTGAATACTCTGATCTCATAAACCTTCGCACAAACACGATTCAAAGAAATATCAGTCAAAAGCATTTTATAATCTGCGACCACAAATCTGATGAGACCAGATCTGTGACGCACGTCAACAAAGCATACCTGGTTTGATTGATGTTTCGAGTGCTAAGTAATCAACACTACCAGCACCGCACCAATCAGAAGCTGCGTTCGTGGGCGAACTCAGTTTTTCAAAATCGTGGGGTTTTCGTGCAAGCGGTTCCTTCTTTCCCCTCCCCCTCCCCCGTCATTCCCTTATTTTTTTGCTCTCGTCCCGACTTTCTCGACGAACTCGCGCGGAAACGCTTGCTACGCAGGCTAGTGTGAAAACGGCCATTGATGTTTTCAGTTACCATGACAACAAATGTGTTTTCTCTTAGTAATGTTGGACCTTTTGGATTTACTTACCACGAAATTCTTAGGCGGTTTTCACAATGACGTCATCAAATTGTAAAGTCAAAAAAGCGAGATTTTACGAATTCTTATTTATACTAGGTTGAAGATAAATAAAAAGTAAATCTTTGTACAAGTTTTCATTCCCGTAGCATGTTTCATTTTGAAAATACAGCAGTTTGAACTTCCCAGTTTTCACAGTGCGTGACACCAAAATAGGAATGCTGTCTCGTTGAAAAAAAGTATCTCCTCTTGATTTTCAGCAGTATAACCATTCCAAGTATTAGGAGATATTTTTATGCGCACGTATGCTAGTTCTCGAGTGAAAAGAAAAAGCTTTCATAGAAAAAGTGAACTCCAGATGTTTTTCTTGATTTTCAGCGGCCATATAGTGCACCAAAACTGTGCACCAATATGGCGTCTCCATACAAAGCTCTACAAAGGTGCGTGAAACGTTTCGGCAAATAACTCAGAAACAGTGGGCCACAAAGACCTGAGACTTGGACAAATTGTTTAAAAATTAGCCTTTTATAACATTTCATTTCCTTGGCCTCTTCCACTGACGTTTTCCAATTTATTTTTTTGTTGCGTGACAGTGAAAACGATCTATAGAGAGTCTCCTGCTCTGGAGTGGGTTACGTTAATTTTGGGTGTGTTTTCGCGCACCAATCTCATTCTTCCCAGGTTTACTTATTGCATAATTTCAAACCGAGAAAGGTTGTGTACGAGTCCGTTTATAACGCGATAAACAACACAAAATTCACATAGTCAGAAACAGCACATTGAGGTTAGCAACATTCTTAAGTTTGGTGTTTATAGGACCCATTTTTTGGACGGGATAAAGCCATTCAAAAACTCCAAAATTTACTAAAAAATATAGACATCCGGCAATCCATAAATTTTAAGTTTTTAAATAGCTGTATCTTGTTTAATATTCCCACAACTGACACCAAACTTATCCCAGCATTTACAGCCTCTGAAATCTGGGCTTTTTTTCTTAACAGGGGCAAATGCCTGCGTTCAGTTGAAACTATTCAGCGAAGCCATCACGTGGTGTGAAAAAGGATTAGAAGTATCTTTTACTGAAGTTTACAGAGAAAGTCCAGTTGGAGATCATTTCTCCACAAACCTTCATTTTTTTTCTATTCGCTGTTGAATAATATTTCTAGTGCAGACTCACATGCATTGAAGACTAAATACATCAATAGGTGCCTTACACAAAGCAGACCTCTAAGCCTTTCAAATCTATCCTTCTCACTAAAAAAAGTGAGGTGTAAACGTGCAGTGAAGTGGACCAGTCTTATTGAATATTTGGTCGTTAATACACATCACGTAGTTTGCAATACACTCATGGGTTTATATCTCCAAGGAAACTAAGCGAGACTCTAGATAATTTATTTAAAGGTCAGAAACTTGGCAGGTTGTTTTTAAATTTCTTGACAATTGAACTTGTAAAAGATTGACCAGAATAACCAGAAGCTGATGGTTTTACTGGATAGGTCTGTGAGAGAACAAAAGAAGCTGAACTTAGATAATCACGGAGAACAGGTGAGAGGTGATGGAGAAAGGGCTTGAAGTACGTTATTTCAGCGTTTTTGAATATACTTCGTCGGAGTTGTTAACTTGGGGGTCTCATCTTACTGTGCACTATCGATACAGTAGGCTAGAGAAGCATATACCCTCCTTTAGCAAATAATATTAAATGAGGTGGTGATCCACCGCTGATCTTACTAAGATTTGTTTGCGTAGCTTGGCCCCACATGGGTGGGTGTATACAAATCCCTGGCTAGCCCACCTTATGGCCCACCCTATGGACCACCTTAAATTTTGCCGAAATAACAAAACAACAAGCCTGAGCAAAGCAAAAGAAATAAGAAGAGAAAGTAGCTCGCGCGTATATGAAGGAAAGTACTTACAGTTGAAATGCAGTCACTATGCCAGAAAATTTCCTATTTTCTTGGACAACATAGGGCGCGGAATCTTTGGGTAATGATGAAGTTTCAGCCCATGCTAAACTCCCGCAAGTAAGAAATGGTTTGAAATGGTTAGCATTACTTAAAGCAGAAAATGACCGAAAGGACCGCTTGGTTCACAGGGAGCAGAGGAGTTATTTGTGACCGTGATTCCTGTCAAATTATTCAGCTAATAGCGCTATTCGCCTTTGTTTACGGTAGCATCAAGTCGTGAGGTTGGAATCAATGACAATGATCAATTCACTACATGTTTTAGACTATGATAAGTCCAATTACAACACCTACAGAAAATAAACAATTATTTGAATTGTCCTAAATGCTTTTCAGTTTCTCCAAATGTCTGTTGTATTTCTTCTTTCAATGATCAATTTCGAAATTAAAGACTTTTTCGAGACTATACTTTCTGGGACGCTTCACCCCTCTTTACCGAATAAAGTGAGAAATTAAAGGCCTGCTATTATTTTCAGATGACGAAAAAATAATGTAACACATAATGTCATAAATTGTACGTAATTCTTTTTTCATAGAAAAATTGGACGAAGGCGACATATACAGCAGGCGACCTTGGCCCTTTTGGTAAAATTGACAACTTTGAGAACAGGTCGGAAGAAGGAAAGGCGTATGGCAATGATCTTGACAGCGCCTATCACAGTTTAAGAGATTTTGAAAAAGCCGTAGACCTTTATGAACGTCACCTAAAAACTGCGAAGCAGTTGGGAAACAGATCGGAAGAAGGAGCGGCGTATTGCAATCTTGGCAACGCCCATCACAATATGGGAGATTTTAAAACCGCCATTGACTACCATGAACGACATCTAAAAATTGCGCAAGAATTGGATGAAACGTCGGAAAAAGGAGTGGCGTATTGCAATCTTGGCAACGCCTATTACAATCTGGGAGATTTCAAAACAGCTATAAAATACCATGAACGTTATCTAAAAATTGCAAAAGAATTGGGCGACAGATCGGGAGAAGGAAAGGCGTATTGCTACCTTGGCAGCGCCTATTACAGTCTGGGAGATTTTAAAACAGCCATAGACTACGATGAACGTTATCTAAAAATTGCGGAGGAGTTGGGCGACAGATCTGGAGAACGAAAGGCGTATGGAAATCTTGGAAACGCATATTACAATCTGGGAAATTTTAAAACAGCAATCGACTACCATGAACGTAATCTAAAAATTGCGGAAGAACTGGATGAAACGTCGGGAAAAGGAGCGGCGTATTGCGTTCTTGGCAACGCCCATGTCAGTATAGGGGATTTTAAAACAGCCATTGACTACCATGAACGACATCTTAAAATTGCAAAAGAATTGGGCGACAGGTTGGGAGAAGGAAAGGCGTATGGAAATCTTGGCAACGTCTATTACAAGCTGGGAGATTTTAAGACAGCTATAGACTACCATGAACGTTTTCTAAAAACTGCTGAAAGATTGGATGATACGTTGGGAAAAAGAATGGTGTATTGCCATCTTGGCAACGCCTATTACAATCTGGGAAATTTTAAAACAGCTATAGACTACCATAAACGTTATCTTAGAATTGCGGAAGAATTGGATGAAACGTCGGAAAAAGGAGCGGCGTATTGCAATCTTGGCAACGCCCATCACAGTATGGGAGATTTCAAAACAGCCATAGACTACCATGAACGACATCTAAAAATTTCGAAAGAATTGGGTGACACATCGGGAGAAGGAAAGGCGTATGGAAATCTGGGCATTACCCATCGCCATATAGGAGATTTTCAAACAGCCATAGACTACCATAAACTACATCTAAAAATTGCAAAAGAGTTGGGCGACAGATCGGGAGAAGGAAAGGCGTATGGAAATCTTGGAATCGCCTATTACAATCTAGGAAATTTTAAAACAGCTATAGACTACCATGAACGTAATCTAAAAATTGTGGAAGAACTGGATGAAACGTCGGGAAAAGGAGCGGCGTATTGCAATCTTGGCAACGCCCATCACAGTATGGGAGATTTTAAAACAGCCATAGACTACCATGATCGACATCTAGAAATTGCTGAAAACTCTGGAGACAGATGCGCAGAAGGAAAGGCGTACGGCAATCTTGGCAACGCTTATCACAATCTAGGAGATTTAAGGACAGCTTTACATTGCCATGAACGTAATCTAAAAATTGCGAGAGAATTAGGTGACAGATCGGGTGAAGCAAAAGCGAATGCCAATCTTGGATGCGCCTATGACAGATTGGGAGATTTTAAAAAAGCCATAGACTGCCATGAACGTGATCTGAAAATTGCGAAAGAATTGGGTGACAGATTGGGAGAAGGAGAGGCGTATAACAATCTTGGCATAGCCCATCATAATCTGGGTGATTTTCAAAAAGCGATTGACCTCTTTAAACTTTATCTAAAAATTGCGAAACAATTGGGTGACAGATCGGGAGAAGGAAAGGCGCATGGAAGTCTTGGATGCTCCTTTCAAAGTCTAGGAGTTTTGAAACCAACCATATATCATTATGAACGTCAAATTAAAATTGCGAAAGAATTGGGTGATACATTAGGAGAGGCGATAGCATGCTCGAATTTTAGTAGCTATTATGAATGTCTAGGCCAAGTTCCAGAGGCGAAGGGATATTGCGAGAGCAGTGTTACTTTGTTAAACAAAATCAGAGATCGTCTTCAATTTGACGACAAGTTGAAAATAGGCTTTCGAGATCTACACCAGAAAACATATGCTACTCTTTGGCGCTTGATGCTAAAAGAAGGCAGGTTTAGGGAGGCTTTGGTTTCTGCGGAGAAGGGCCGGGCACAGGGTCTAAGAGATCTTATGGCATTTAAGTATGGATTTGAAGTGAAGGATATTGAATCAAGTGCAGATCACAGATCCTTTCCTCCGAATACTATATTTATGGCAATTGGAATGAACGAATTAGTTTTTTGGGTTTGTCAGAACGGGAAAGACGTCGAATTGAGAAGAAAGGAAATCAGTTCCCAGTATGACACTAGCGCTTATTTACAGTCTCTTGTGGATGATATGGGTGACGAAATTGGTGTTAAAGATGTAGTGGAGCGTAAATATTGGTCGTTTAAATTGGTGAAGGAGTATCGAATGGCGGTTAAAAGATCAAATCGTGATATCAGACAAACCCAACCCTCAACTTTTTCCGAAAGTGCCTTAAATACACTATACGACATCATCATTGATCCTATTAAAGATCTGTTCACGGGAAATGAACTTATATTTGTGCCTGAAGGCCCAATTTGTTTGGCTCCCTTAGCTGCTTTCATGGATCTAAACTCCGAATATCTCTGTGAATCATTCAAGATTCGCGTGGCTCCATCTCTAACCAGCTTGAAGATGATTGCAGATTGTCCTTTAGATTACCACTTAAAGTCTGGTGTACTTCTTGTGGGCGATCCATGGGTGCAAGAAGTGACAGAACTAGAGCAGTTGCCTTGTGCTAGAGAGGAAGTAGAGATGATTGGTATAATGCTCGGCTGTACGCCTCTTATTGGGAAACAAGCCACAAAGGATGCGGTGTTAAGACGACTCGGTTCGGTTGCTTTGGTGCACATCGCTGCACATGGCTACATGGAAACGGGTGAAATTGCCTTAGCGCCAGATATTGGTGAGGTGGATTTCATTTTGACGATGAAAGATGTTAAGCGTGTTCAGATTCGTGCAAGACTAGTTGTACTCAGTTGCTGTTATAGTGCTCATGGAGAGATCAAAGCAGAGGGTGTAGTTGGCATAGCACGAGCATTTTTAAGTGCCGGTGCTCGTTCTGTTCTTGTCTCGTTGTGGGCGATTGATGACAAGGCTACTCTTGAGTTCATGAAACATTTCTATCCGCATCTTGTGAAAGGAAAAAGTGCGAGTGAATCCTTAAATCTAGCAATGAACTGCATGAGAGAATCGGAGGAGTTTGGTGCAGTCAAGTACTGGGCACCGTTTGTGCTCATTGGTGATGACGTCACATTAGAATTGTCTGGATACGAATAAATTTCCTGAAAGTATAGGTAACTCTGTTTTCGAAAATACAGTCAACTCTCTCGTAAATGACCACCGTTGGTGCACGACAAAGTGCTCACTTACGGGAGGTGGTCGTCTACGGGAAAACTCAAGAAAATAAGCTCAAACTGAACTGATTAACGTAATTACATAAGTTTATAATCTTACAAGTAAGAATGAGGCTAATAATTTGTTTAACTCGAATAGCGCTTGGAACTGTTGAAACTTTGCATGTAACATTATGCATGAATGTGACAATCCACTTTTTTACCTACAGATCGTATTACAGACATCTTTTTTATAAGTCAACTGCTATAATCTGCCAGCTTACTTGGTCAGCACTATTCAAAAATGAACTTTTGTGACATTCGAGCAACGGTTTTGTTACAATCATACGTGGTCATGCCCGGTGGTCCCTTACCGGAAACAGAAAACAAAAGAATTTGTCAAATTTCTGGCCCAAAAAGTGGTCGCGGTCGTTTAAGAAATTTACGTAGTGGTCGCTTACGAGAGAGTTTTTGAAACAGTGTTTGACTGAGAAGCAAAACGGTTATTTCTAAAGTGGTCGCTTACGAGAAGTGGTCGCTCTGAGAGAGTTGACTGTTCCTTAACACTTAAAATACTTTTGTTCATTTTGGAAATTAATTTTACTTTACACATCATTAACTCCGAAATCCGTAACACATTAGGCTAAAAAAATCGCAGGTTTATAGTTCGCATTTCTCATGGGGTCTTTCATTTCTTTTTTTTTTAATTTGAAAGGAAAAAGTGTTATATACTGCATACATATAAGCTGTGCCTCGTCTTTTAAGTTGAGAGGTATTTTTGGAAGCATTACTTTAAAAAACCGTTGGCGACTAGAAATAAATCCACATAGTCTGTCTATAATATGGGTTTGAGATATAACTAATTGCATTTAAACTGGGCCAAGGGTGAGCCGTTAGATTTTTGCTGCGGAGCGAGCGGAGCGAGCGAGCAGCAACATAATCAGGATTTAAGAGAAAAATATAAGGTGGGACGAATTCTCGAATCCATTACTTTTTACCAGAATGCATTGCATTTAACCAGAGTGCATTGCGCTACGAACAACTCAAATAAAAACACAAGGAAGTTCGGTCAAATTCTTCGCTGAGAGCGTCGGCATCGTTCGCTGCTCAGACTCACGGTTAGAGGTGTTACCAAATTTAAGACACCCAGGAGTCTTTCAGATGAGTACGATGGTTAACTTGGGGATTGGATTTCAAGGGCCTTTGACTCGTCCAGGCGTTAAAACTTGACGAGGAGATGAGCATTTGTTCTTCTACTCCGCAACACGGAGGTATACAAATTCCAGCTTGCTAGAGGGTGATGTGTAAGTGAGAAAATGTCGTGCTATGCTATTCTTAAGAACCTGTATGAGCCGAAAGTGGATGTGATTTTGACCATTAGTTTCAAAATAACAGCGGAAATCGAGATAACAACACATATGTTTTGCGTTCTACTTTGCAGACGAGGACGTGTATCGGCGTTTTGTAAAGCATAATCATGTTCCGGCTTTCATCCTTTAATTGCCATGGAATGTATTTATACCTGGATTTTTGAAAACCGGGTCAGCAAAAATATCAACTCATTCTACTACTTGCCAATTTCAAACAAGAAAAACTCATTCAAAGGCCGACTAAAAGCCTTTATCCGACGCCGGGCAGTACGTTAATAGCCCCTAGATGCAGCCTCGTACCCAGGCCTGTTCGCGCTATCCGACTGACCAGAGGAGGCTTGGAACCGAGCGCGATAGCGCGAGGCCTGGCAAAAAATGGCAATAAAGTCCCAGATCGACGAGAAAAAGTCCCAGATAATTTCTCGACGAAAATCCTTTGTTTTCTGCGACGATCACGGAATATTTCGGACTCATGAGATTAATACATCTCTTCCGAGCATCTTTGGACCGTTTCAACTGATAGCAACGAAATGTGGCGGGCATGTTTTCCCAAAAACACTGGTAAGTTAAGCATATTGTTTAAAGTCTTGTTCGCTACACGAAGTTAGAAAAAAGTTTCTTCGTAGTTGGGCATGGGACGATCACTGTACACTGTATGTACAATAGTATCAAAGGCTTCATTTTCATTGAACAAAATGGGCGTTGATCTCCTAGTTACAGGGCTATAGTGGGCTTATTTTGCCTTTGTTGTTCGAATCGTTGGTAGGAAAACATCACGAGAATGATTTACACGGTTTCGCGCGAAAGGCCAAAAAAAAAAAAAAACACTACATGCCATTTTCAGCGGTTTGAATATGCTTTTTGCTCTTTATAATAACCTAGTACCTTGAACTTGTACCTTGCAGCTCCCAGTTCATGCAGAACATTCTAATAGTCTATTTTGAAAATAGCAGCAGTAACTCATGTAATATTTGGGTGTCTTAGTTTTACCTGATTTTTAATGATATGACTATCATCCAGTCCTTTATATGACTGCGACTTAGAGCGATTTTACTTGACCCATGAAACATTTAATAACAACTAGTGCAAAATATAGCTACAAATAAACAAAAGAAGACAATATAATTAGTGCATAATAGTGCTTAGTATTCTACTTCCTGTTTTATGCGTTAAGTAAAATCACTCTGGAGGACGTTGCAATTTTAGAGATGGGAAAATTTTGGATAGTTGACACTTAATCTTAATTTACCTACCTGACAGGCATAATTTCTGAGCAAGGTATTGTACATAAAATGTTTAGTTTTTTATCATATATTGTCTATTTTTTTACCTTCCTTTACATTAATTTTCAGAAAGTTTTAAAGAGGATGAAAGGAGAGCATGTAATAGACGACACTGGGGATGCGAAGGATACAGGAGCAAAAGGAAAATGTAATTCAGCTGAAGAAAACTTGAAATGAAAATAAAAATATGAAACCGTGATGTTTAATATTGAATTTCTTAGATTTCATCAAACAAAACTTTATTGATTTTATAAGGAAATTAGATTGATTTCCTTACAAGCCATAGTTCTGAACACTTGTGAAATTTGTTAAGAGAAATTTTTTAAACCTGATAACAACTACTTCTTGTCTTGTAAAGCTTGTTGTGGGAATGGGTTGGGGAAACAACTTCAAGACCAACTTAAGACCTTTTTCCACTTAATTTGATGCCATAATGGTACCATTGGCTGGGCCAGCTACATGCCATTTTCAGCTGTTTGAATATGCTTTTTGCTCTCTATAATACCCTAGTGCCTTGAACTTGTATCTTGCAACTCCCAGTTTATGCAGAACATTCTAATATTGTCTATTTTGAAAATAGCACCGAAAACTCATGTAATATTCTTTTTAAACTTATGACTCACTGGAAGACCACTGCTGCGAAAGTGGTTCGAGATAAAAAAGAAAACAGAAAAAAAAGGAAAGCACTTAATTTGAGTGTCAATATATTCAGCACGAAAGTAATAATTAGGGACACTATTTTTACGTCTACTACCGCCATTTTACGTGGTCATGCATCCGAGCCACGCAAAGGTCTAGCCATTTGCAGCAGGGCAAAGGTAATACCTTCATTTCTCAGTCATTTTAAGATCCTGAGTATTGGTCCGACCCAGGGAATTGAACTTCTGACCTCCCAATCTGCAGTCAAGCACTCTACCAACTGAGCTAATCCTACCACAGTTGAGATTAAGTTTACATAAGATAGTAGTACAATGGAACATAGATATGGGGTCGTGCAACATCAACAACAATAGAATCAGACATTGATAGAATCAGAAAGAAAGCTTGGCTGAAAGTTTTCAACAGTCCCCAAAGGATCATCTCATTTAAATGGTGGGTAGTTACACTGGTTGAAGATAACATGGATATAGAATTAAATTTTATTCATGCTAAATGCTATAAAAGCATGGACACAAAGTGTTTTACATCTGATGCCGTTTCAGGATATTTGAACGCTGCTGATGTTACTCAGTATGTTGTAAACTGCCCCTATAGCTTGTATCTGCCACATTGAGGCGTATTCAAAAGGCTGACAGCACTTTATGACTTCTTTTTTGCATATTTAATGGACAAAAGCAGCGTCTATGAGTTGATCCACTATCGTTTAGGACGACACCTAGGCTAGAAGTCTCTCTTGAATTGCAATGCACGCAGTGCTGCGATTCGATTAACAAGTTTTTCATCCGCTAGATAATATGCTGAGTACAGAGCTAATTCGATGACACATCTTTCACGAACTTCAACATGGTTTAACTCATTCCCGACAGGCAATGGAACACACTCCTGAGATGGGACGATTTGTTGGGCAGAATTAAATACAATCAAAACTCGAAATTACTGACCTACTATAATAACAGGTGTACACGCGGAACGATTCCTTGAAAGAAATTTCTCCAACATCTCTATGTATTTGATGGCAAACGTTGATTAAAGAATCCCAACCTATTTCCGACGCTTTTTTTTTCATTTCTTCAACAATCTTGGCTGAAGTCGCATTCTTGGCTTAACGCCGCCATTTTGGATTTGCCATTATTTGCCAGGCGTCCTAGGCGAATTTTCCCGACAAGCTTGACAGGTGACGTCACATCCGAAATCGCCGAGGACGACTGGGAACGAGGCTGCCCTAGATGCATTCAACACCGCGGCAAAACGCAATGCGCATGAGCACAAAATTTAATATCCGGTCAACTTTTTATTTCCGGTCTAGTATATAAACCAATAGCGTAAGCATAACTTTGCCGTCGCGCCAAGTTTAAAAGCAAAAAGGGCGAAACAGACAAAAAAGGGGGCCAAAAAATCACTTCATTCGAAAGCTTATATATTTTTCTATTCTCAAACTTTTGCACCACATGGTTATCTGTTTGCACCAACGGTGAAAATGATGTTTGAAGACGAAGACGAATTTGTTTTTACTGGCTTTTTTGCATGCTACTGGTTTGGCATAAGTTAATTTGGGAGAAGGCGACAACTAAGAAAAGAATAACAATACTTATGAAAGAAACCAAAATACAGACGTCATCATTATCATAAAA